TTTGATGTCCCCCCCCCTCTCGAAGAAGCGAGCGCCAGCGCTGCTCGTTGTATGAGCTGTTTGCTGCTGAAGCTTCCGATCCCCAGAATAGTACTTACTGCAGAGAGAGCTTTTGTGGGCAAAGGCTCGCGAGAAAAGTAAAGCATGCAGTTTCCTTTCAGCAATAGTAAAATAACGGCTCCACAGTGTCCATTGACGAACTGATGTAATTTGATAAGCCATCTCTTTCACTACTGCAATCTTCGGCGTCAGTCTGGCCTTGCACTGAAACGACGTGATTCAGAAGGCACGGACACCTTGTGGCCATCTGGAAAGGCTGCCTTACCGTGTAGCAACACAAGCTGAAGAAGCAAAGCGGCTGTCAGCAGCATGAAGAGTTCTTAAGCTCTTGTAGTGGTGGATGTAATCGAACTGAACATCACCGCTGGTTACTTTGAAAGATAACAGGATACCGACCAACCTGAAGGTGTGCAAATCATTCATTGATCTGGTAAATAACGGTTGTTGACTGTTCTTCACTTCGTGTTCGACTTGAGTTGTTTTGCTCTTGCACTGAGGAATAGATATTGATTTACGCGCACATGCAAAATAATCATTTACCTCCTTTCTGCTCACAGGGGCAGTCTGAAGTGCTAACGCCTCCGAAATGAGCCGAACTGAGCTAAGTCCTTTCCAGGTCTGCAATACACTCGGAATAGCTGTCTACTGATAAGTGACTGGCGAAACAGCTCTAACCAGGGAGCGGGGCGCGGGTGTAGTTTTTGGAGGGTAGCATTGCAGAAGTAGTACCATACATCCACATCCTTTACTCCTCTAATGGGGACTATTGAAGGGCTGTCAAGCGTGTGCTGCATGTTCACAGAGTTACTCTACTAAAGGGGCTCAGTTCGATATAAACGATGCCTCCAAAACACTAGTTTTCGAGTGCGTATCCCGGCCAGTCCATGGCCCTAGCTGAGATTACTCCGTGGACGCTACCCTTGCTTCCGAATACAAGAATTGCCCCAAACCAGGACAATGACCATCGATCGTTGCACGTTCAAATTTCACTAATCAAACATTGATGGTGTTTGCGCGAACTTTCGACTGCGTTACACGGTATTCGCACGGTGTTGTACGCTATGTGCGCGCTCATGGACCTGTCCTGAAACATATGGAGAAAGACGGCGCAATGTGCCTCGGGGGGGGGGGGGGGCAGTCGCCGCGCGCGCTCGTGCGGCAACAGGAAATTCGTGAGCCAGGGGGAGTGTAGCCAATTCAGGGGGGTTGGGGGTGAGGGCAGTCACATGACATGCGTGAGAAGCTGGAATGTTCGAATTTCCTGTTGCCGCACAGCGCCGCGCGGTGACTGCCCCCCCCCCCCAGGCACATACGCCAAGAAGGACATAACGCCCGCGTCGTTTACTTTCATCTCTGGAAGGGATGTAGGCGGTGTGCCTAGCTGATGTGCCGCACCTGGGTGAGTACTTTGACGCTGTCTGTATATACGATATTTAACCGGACATTCCATCTGCATGAGATACGGTACATTTTTGGGTGTCGTGATACGAATCCTGAGTTTCGGCACTTCAAAGGATTCTCGAATGTAGGAAGCGGTTCAGGTTGCCACACCTCAGGAGCGGTGTCAACGTCGTGGTCGAAACAGTTTCGAACGGGGGGGGATGTCGCATTCTGTGTTGTCGGAAGGGGGGTGGGTCGCAATTGGTGGATTTAGGTCGGCATTGCGGCGTCGGTGTATTAGATGGCGCCAGGCATAGAGTGTGTGCGGTAAAAGTTGGTTGCCGTTCCAGCTGGATTGCTCCTCCCCCCCCGGTTCGACAGCGCTGTGTTCTTTGGGGGAAAAAAGTGGGTGGAGTTTCGGAGTTTTTAGGTAGGTTTTGGGCTGTGTCAACTGGTCTCAGAATCAAATACTATAAAGAGGGAGAGGTCGCGGTGGAGGAAGGCTGGTTGTATTGGGGGGTCGCAACTGTGTGTTGGGAGGGGTCGCAACTGGTCCCTCTCGAGAGGGGGGGGGTCGCAAAAATCCCGAAAATGTTCGAACGTGACGGTTGACCCTGCTCATGGAGCGGCAGGCGGACGAAGTCCCGTGGCCAGGGTCTCACGTACTTGGACCAGGCGCACAAGACAGGTTAGAATCAGGGCTGCCCGCCCCTTTTGTTTTATTTTTTTTTTTTTTTTTTTCTTTCTTTGCGGATGGTGCTATTAACGCTGCACAGCTCCTGATTCTGCCGGCCCAAATATCATCTTTTGACAAAAAAAACCCAAATTTTGAGGTAGCTTCAACGGAACCTGTGTGGTCTTTAGCGTACCACTGGTCTTTTCGAACAAATGACACCTCTGGGCAGAAAATCGAGTTTTCAAGAGTGTGTTCAGGCTCGACCCTCCTGATAAATAGGCGCTCAGGCTCGACCTTCCTTCTGATAAATAGGCGCGCACATTCAGGTATGAATCAGTTTTCGCAGGAAGCTCAGTCAGCAAAGTGACCATTTGAAAGACGAGAAACACAGAAGACATAGGTTTATCTTGCTGCTCAAAACTTTTATTGGTGTGGAGACGAGTGGTCGAAGCCAATGTGGGGCTGACCGGACCTGTGTGGTTCTCTGATCAATCTCAGTCAGTGGAACATTTTGCAAAGATTGTTAATTGCACCCAATTAGCACTAAAGTTCCCATCCAGGACCAAGCAATCCCGACAGTTTCTTTCTCGTCATCGAGCCTATCGGAAAAAATTTTAGTGCAGAAATCACAGTCTCAATCTATCGGCATTTCACAGAGATGACAAAATCTTTTCTCAATGGCGGAACGATCCTGTCTGTGAAGGACCATCTTCCAGCCAACCAAACCTGTGGGGACCCTTTTGAAGCACACAGGACCAGGAGGCTGTGGACGATGGCATCCACAGCTTCGCCCTCATGTCCCACTGCCCTGCTTCAGCCGATAGTTTTCTCAGCGGTACAAGTAGCTCGTTATTCGCGACACGATACCACACTGCGCTAATGCTCATGTGCAACATCTGCCTGCGTTGGAACCCCCTCTTCGAAGGGCTCGGCTGGAAGTGGTAGCACAGCCAGCAAAGCCCATCAGTGTGCACAAACCCACCCCTTCACAATCTTGACCACACATCCTTTCCAACTGAGCCCACTTGTTGCTGAAACGTACTCTGAGCTGGTAAGGTGCGGTTAATCTTTAGATAAGAGAACCTAAACCGATACGTGGTTGTTGAAGAGCAAAACCTGTTCGCTGTGCGGATGCGTTCCCCACCTCATAGCAGCGAGGGGCGCCCATCATACCTCTGCTCTATTAGAACACTTCTGTCCATTGTTCCTAGCGCTGCTGATAAAAGCGCCGCCAGCATAAAATGTCCGTCAGAGTGGGCGATTGTGCTAAGCGATCGCAACCACGCGATGACTATCGCTCGATGATCGCGGGGCAGAGCGATCGTCAAGCGACTGCCATCGCGCGATTAGCGATCGCCCATCTAAACGTACTAGTTACAGCACTAGGCCCTTGGAGGGCGGGTATATAGCGCCCATATTCTTCTTTTAAGGGATGTGACTTGCTGCTCGAATCGCCATTTAGAATTAGAATTATCAAGGCTGACGTTGGTTTCGTATACCCACATATCGATGCTGTCTAATGTAGTTCTGGAAGTTATCAATAACGTGCAGATCAATAGACCACAAAGCCTCCAAGTTTGAAGCGGTAGAATCGGAATGTTTTGGCGGGAGAGAGGCTGAGTCAACAGACCAGCGTGCACAGAGGGGCAGGTCGTGCTGCTTTTTTGGCCGAAAATTTTGATTTGAGCGATAGAGACTTAATGGTGTCCCAGTTCGACACCTGAGCATGGCAGGGCTCGCAAGAGATCGACATATCAGAAGGTCCGTTACATGCGCTTGCATTTCCTTGATCATATACTGCTGAGGCGACTGTCTTGAACATAAAGCGATACATATCGATGCGAGTGGGCGGACGCATCCTCTGCGCGGCGCGCGTGGTAACGGTCACAGCCGCTGCTCGCACCGCATCCTCGCTCGCTGAGGCGTAGATCAAGGGCCATGGTTCCATATTCCGGAGGTTATGACAAAGACTACTAGATAATTTGGTCAAAACCTGGCCAGAAGGACGCCGGTTATTATTATTGATACTCTGGGAGACATACATGGGATCACATAGGGGGGGGGGGGCCGACGAGACGCCCCGGCACTTGCCGACCCGTATGTTCCCGATGTGGTCTTCTAGAGGGATCTCTTAATCTTCGATCTCACCAATTCAGCCCTTTAAAAGCCGGCGAGACAACAATATTTTCAGCGTGTAATTACTCTCCGGGACGGTCACATTCTCTAACGATCTCTCAATCATAACATTGCATTTTCAACGTCTTCGCTCATGACGATAGCCCGCCCCACGAATGCGGAGTCACCTGAACGCGGCTAATCTGCAAAATACTACCGTTGCGCAAAAATAGTTTCTTTTGTTCCATAGCATCCATAAAGTGAACAATTTAGGATGCAACATGTAAGGCTATAAAAACGAAAACTGTTGGCCATATTTATATACACTATTAGTCTCCTATATACATCCAAAACATTGTTACTCGTACTAGAATGGCAAAATCTTCGCGACACCAAACAAACGCACGATCGATGTTGATGAACTGAACCAGGGGAGGAATACCGCACACGGTAATGATAGCCGTCTTGACGGATCAGAGCTATTGCCTCGGCCCTGTGAGAGAGGATTTTGTCAGTCGTGCACGATAAAAACAGTTCAAATCGATCTACGAACAATCCATTATTTTTCGTTCACGACATGCTATCCAACCAGGCTCAGTTGTAAGTTTAACGCGCTCTATGCATGCAAAAGCCACAGTAAGTAGAATAAAAGAATCTGATGCATTACAATACAGTTGGCCAAGAACTAGAATTATAAACTATCACAAGTGATACCATCTATCTCTAATTACAAAATGTAAATGAGTAAAATGTCGCTTCATCTATTTAACTACAAGGAAAATCTAGTCTTGGCTTCCTGGGCTATCATTTTCGCTATAGCAAGACTTGATGTCGCACCCGGCGATGGCGCATTACGTACATGAAGCACCATCTTTGACAACTGAAAGAAATTATTAGTAGCGTGAATCAATCGATAAAGGATTGTGGAAACATTGGGAAGAAGCATTCGATACTGATCACCGCCCTTGAACGCGCCTTTGATTTCCACTCGAATGAAAGTCTTAAATTAGTTTTGATTCAAAGAGCGACTCGCTTCTGATCACCCTTCCCCACCTCCAAGGGTCAACCTTCACGTTCGCACTTTTTCAAAAATTTTGCAACCCACCCCGGGGGTCTCGATCTAACCCCTTCTACCACCATTAGTCCAAAAGGCTACCCTAATACGATCCCCATTGCCCCTTCTCCAAACACCACCGTCACCATCATGGCTGTTTGCACAATATCTGAATCTGAGACCAGACAACACAGCCCCATTTCGCCCCCTTTCTTATCCTCCACAACGACCCGTCGAGCCCCAAAATGCGACTCGAAATGCTGAAATCACAAATGCGACTCCCTCGTCCAAAGGTGCGAACGGACAATCCCTGCCCACCTCCCCTTCCACCTCTTCTTCCTCCAACACCACATCACATTGCACCAACTACTGGAACCAACTCCCAACAACAAGGTAGCTTTAGCGTGAAATTTTGAAAACAGGGCGAGCGAAAACCCCATAAATGCCTTCCAATGTGTAAACGAAGAATACTTTTCGGTGATTTGATTTGGCATTCCACTCTTTCCCACAATAAATTTCCACAAGGTTCTATGCTACTGCACACCAGGAACATCTCTGATATCATTTCTTACAAATACCGGAATTCGCTGCGCTTCCCGGACAACAAAGAAGCAACGTCAAACTAACCGGTCCTGTACCGCTGTCGAAAACGAAGTCGTCGACAAGGTTACCTTGCGGATCCATGGCTTGAGCACGTACACCAGTAAAGCCTCTGAAACTCAACGAAGTTCTAGGAAGGAAATACGACTTAGCTTAGGTTTTACTAAATCAAATCAGACTTTTTCAGCGAGTAGCGATGACATTCAGATGCAATATTTTGACTGAAAGGCCCTATCAATTGGGGTAACGGAGTCGAAAATGAAAGCGCACGTGCTCTGGACGCCGCCAACGTTGAGAAAAGTTAATTTCCATTTCAAAAGCAAACTCAACTTCATTAACTATTCTAACGACCTTGTCGAGAAAAAGTACTGAAGCGCTGGCGGCGACGAGAGAGCACACATATACCAGACAGCAGGAAGTTGATTATGGCAGCTTTAAGATAGCGCTACGCTATTTTCCATGTCATCATGGAGACAAGGAGAGGGCGTGGTATGATGTCATGGGAGGCAAGCTAACCTAGAAGGGGGGGGGGCGTCGTTCCTCAAAAATCGTGGGCGCGACCTTGTACTAACACGCTGTAATGATCAGTCTACTCTCATGCGATTGACAAGTATGGTAAGAATTTCATTTTTTGAGAAAGCATGGGTTGCGCCTTTAGGAACGAAATGCTAAGTGATTTGGTAAAAAAGATGTTCAATGCTAACTCGAAAACCACAGAATACTCATGCACAAACCTTGTTACATCGCTTAATTTCAATTCAGGAATGAATCGTTGTAGTTGCTTCACTTGAGCATGTATAAAAATACCACGGTATAATTCGGTTAATCCATAATTGAAATATTTGAAGACCAGTTTTCGCATACCACTGAAAACTCTCAATCATGTAAAAAAAACCCTAATGAACAGTGCCTATTAGAAAAAATTGATAAATCACGAACCTATAAGTCAAAGAATCGAAGAGATCGTATGGCGATATTTGAAAATAACCGTATCCTTCTCGCTTGTAAGCTAGCACAGCATTAGGGCCCAAAATTATATTGCCGTCCATTCGAGGGGTAAAATGAACACCGAGGAATGGCAGCCCTGGATTGGGTACCTGCAAAAGCTGGGCTTCGAACAAAACAAACAAACAAACAAAATAACTCCATGGAATTTGTAGAACGTCCTTTACTTCCTGGGAACTCGTAAAAAACTCACAGGGTAAATATTGCCTCTGCAAAGGTATCGCTTTTCTGGTTTCAAATAGAGGTATTCTCCGCGGAATGGAATGATCTTCGGGTTTGGTGAACATCCAGTGAGCTGTGCGACACGATCGGAATGCAATCCTGTGCAGGTGACCAAGTTTTTCGCGTGGATGTGACACTGAAAAGTTTCGACGTTGAAACTTTTCCGAGGGAACCCAGACATCGACAAAAAAGAGCAATTGAGTCAAATTCACACAAATTGATTCACTGTAAGTATGACATGCCCCCTTTATTCCTTGGACAGTATACCTTGAACTATGCCAGAACAACCAAAAATGCTTTGATAAATGGATCGCTCAGATTTGCTCAGTCCTATATTTGAATCGGGAACAAAATGAAACATATCTGTATCGTTTGACACACATATTACTCACATTTTGAGAGGTAGAATGCAGAGCTATTGGGTAATTCGGATCTGGTGATGATGATACCTCTTTCAAAGGGTAGTTTATATAAACCTGAAGAAAAGGTGATTTCTCACGATGCACACGCCGTTTGGGAGAAAACGAGGAAATTTCACTCACAGTTCCACCCCTCTTCTCAAAATCCTTGGCGAATGCTCTCGCCACTTCTCCCCAATCAACAACACCCGTATGAGGGGACCAGAGCGCCTTGAGACCCTGAAATGCACAGATAAATTTGCTTGTGGCTAGGATGAGATCACTTTTCCAAGAACCAAATAGGCTTTGCTACTTCCTGCAGAATAAAAAAGAGAAAACTAGCAATGAACCTTTTTTGAACGAGTAATTTGAATTGCTAAAGGTCTTCCGATATGGCACAAAAACAAACATAAAATACTTTACCTTACAATACGGCTCGTACTCTTTATTTGTGGACCATCGATCATCTTGATATCCTTACAATTATTCTTTTGAGATCTTTCATACAAATTCTGAAACATCCAATTCAAACACAAGAATGAGTGAAATCCGTATCAGACGAAATTATAAGCATATTACACATAATCCAAAGCTTGAAACTTTTTACGCTCCAGACTTTCTGTCAGAGCAGACAGGAAGAAAAGATAATGCTTCGAGGACGAAAGAGCCAATACTAATTCTATCACCCGAACACCGCGGTATGGATTATGGTCACCTGTGTTGGACCTTTTTTGAAAAATGACCCGCTTACCCGTCATCCATCGAGCTTACCCATGCGATCTGAGGAGATTGAGGTACAAAAATAGGGTCAAAATAATTTAGGAAGAGTCACAAGTAATTGCCGATTTGACAAAATTTTTCAAAAGTTCACAACTTTCTTTTGAACCACCTTGATTGAGTGCCATATTTACCACAGCTGTCTACAAGTGTCCTCTATCTATCCGCGAGTGAAAGGATTTGCATCCTTCGACGTCAAGAATCAGTGGATGTGTTTTGAAGTGTTCGCGATCTTCGTAGTTTTTCTCGTTAAAGAAACGAGCAAGCAAGCGAACAACCGGTGATTGGTTGCTATATCTTACAATTAGTGAATTATAAAAAAAAGCAGGGAAAAATCATGAGGCCTCGTTTCATGTGGGTTGCGAGCTGCTGCGCAGTGGAACGATTTCATGTGAAGGAAGCCTCAACTTTGCGATATCCGAAGCAAGTTTATCCAGCTGTAAGCAGTAGGTGTCTGCGCCAGCAGTGGTGGTATTGTTTGAAGTCTGTGATGAAGCAATCCTACAATCGGAGAGAACCTACTCCGGGTGAAGTTCACCTATTGGGGCTCGTTGTCGCTGCTGAGCTGCACGTTCCCACTGATGCCTCCGTAGGTTGCTTGGCTAGACTGCGCACTCCTCAACCCCAGTGACCCCTTGTCAAGCCGATCGAAACTACGACTTTAGACAGCAAACTTTGGGAGATGATCTTTCGAGCCAGCTTGTCCAACTCATGAAAATTTCATCTTCCTAGCGTGTACAATTTCTCTATGCTCAAAGGGAACGACACATGGTGCACTGGGAGGACTGAAGGTCTACTGCAGTTTGACGAGTACTGGTGCCGGGTTGCCTTCAAGAAGCTCTTGCATGCGTTCAATATCTACGGCATTGGGTGTCCAAAACGTGGTTGTTCTTCAGCTTTTTTAGCGAGTCTGGTCCTCCAGACTCACAAATATCCCGACAGGCTCCTCTTGCTGAGTGCCCCAGGCGGAACTCGTAAAATAGACAGTGACGAACATGTGTTGAATGGAAGACATTATGTTCTCCCAAAAGACATTATGTGTTCTGAAGAACGTAAGGTCGAATTTTGTAATATGAAAGGACACTAAGGTCGCCACACACTCACAGCACGAACATCGTTTTAGAGGGATGGCGCGGGTACAAGACTCAACCTATTATTGACCACAAGTCGCAACCAGCTCGTGTGAACGGCATTGTGTTCCCTTCCGTACAATCACACAACCCATGAAGCATTTTGACGTGTGGAATAGAGTGCGATAGTGACCTGAAAGTAAGAATACCCACCTCTAGTCGCGGTATTTCTTCCGGCTCAACAGCTACGATTAGTTTCCCAGCTTTCTTGTGCGGAAAATTGTTCTCTTCGAAAAACTTGTAAGCGAGATCGTGACCTAATCAATACCAAATTATCAGTTGACAATAAATGACTATCAGTATGTGATAAAAGAATGTTCAATACAACGAGAAAGAAAATAAAATCTAGACCTTCAACACAAAGTTTCGCTTTCAAGGTTCCAGGAGTGTAATAAATCCCTGCATGAATTACACCACTGTTGTTGCCACTCTGATGTGGTGCTGAAATCAGTGTTACTGAAGACCGAGTGGACTGAAGAAGAAAATGCATCTCCGAACGATTTCTAACAAGGAAAGCAAGGAAATAGTCGACGGTTTGGTAGGAAGTCACCGTGCGACGTCGCGCCTCTCGAAGGATTACAAACAGCCCCTCATGGCGAGAACATCTGCAGCACAAGTTTTCGCAAAAACCCGCAAATGAGGCTGCATCGTGGAATCCAGCACATTTTGGGAAAGTAGGGGTAATCGTGTGTCGTAAACGCTGAACTGCAACTAGCGCAACCCAAATTATTTCTCTAAAAACGAACACATTAACGGTGCCCGCTATGAGTTGCTTTCCCACTGCATCTAGAAAGAATCACTGGTATAGGTGCTCATAAATGTACTACAAGAAATTGGAGCAAAACGTCCACTAAAGGAACAACAAAGATGTGCTACTGTCGCTCAGACCCATGGCGCACATGTCGTTGGGAGGGGGAGGACATTCGAAGTGAGTGAGCCACTTACAGAACTTGGGAGGGGATAGGACTCTGGGGAGGGGGATGAGCCATTTGTGTTCTACCTGGCGTTTCTACCCACACATTGGGTACACGTATTGGGCATAGTGCTAGTGCCACTTATCATCGGTCCTGTTTTCAATGTCCCCAGGCCATGAGCACCCCGTCCAGATCGTGGACCAACATCAAACCCTAGAACACTGTCGGCGGGGGTTAATCATATTTTCTGTACTTCCGCGATTCCAGAAAAGGGACACTGATACGAATCTCGGTAGATTGGTATTCTATGACTGCCCTAACCTCACGGTTTGTGAGCGCTTATTCTACAACAGAGCAGTTCACGTACAAATAGGCCTTGAAAAGCTCACACATCTTATTCTCCTTTTCGAGCAAGCAGATTTTCAAGTGTGGATACTCCATTTTTAGTTGACGAGCTGTCGCGCTACCGACGATGCCACCGCCCACGACGGCTATATCGAATTTCTGCGGAGCCCTGTACAACA